CAGATGGATGGCGCAAGGTCTTTTGCAGCTCCCACTAGTCATGTTGATATCAGAAGCAATAACTCTGCAAACAGCTCTACCAGCTCAGTAGATCTTGTATCTCCTAGATTAAAAGCAGAAAACCATGTAACTGCTGTACAAGGTGGACATCCATTTCATTCGAACTGGTCTACCTGTACAGAGAAACCAGATGGAGTGAAAAAGCAGGGTGGCTTTGACAATAATGTTACATCAGATCCCACAAAAGGAGGTAATTGTTGTTGACAAAAGTGTAATTGATACTTGCCCTTTCTTGTCCCTTTAGCATTGTTTTATGGTGAGTGGTTCTATTTTAGGTGGTAATGCTGTTTCTACCGCCCCTGGGCAAATGTGGACATATAAGAAACCTGAGGCTGAGCTGCAATCTGCATCAGGGAACTTGCCATGCATGCCAGTAGTAACACATGGAGTTTCTGTTCCTCCACCTCACCAAATCCCTCCACCCGGTCCTCCACCTCAGCAAATCCCTCCACCTGGTCCTCCACCTCACCAAATCCCACCACCTGGTCCTCCACCTCACCAAATCCTGCCACACTGTCCTCCACCTCACCAAATCCCGCCACCTGGTCCTCCACCTCACCAAATCCTGCCACACTGTCCTCCACCTCACCAAATCCCGCCACCTGGTCCTCCACCTCACCAAATCCTGCCTCCCGGTCCTCCACCTCACCAAATCCCACCACATGGCCCTCATCCTCAACAAATCCCACCACACGGCCCTCCACCTCAACAAATCCCACCATCTGGTCCTCCACCCCAGCAAATCCCACCACCTGGCCCTCTACCTCAGCAAATTCCGCCACCTGGTCCACCTCCATTCATGCGATCTGTTTATCACCCTCCAAACAGTCCCTGGGATCCAAGAGGTCTGAATCATCATTTTCCTCAAAATCCAATTTCCCCAGGTGTGGGGCCTAACACTTTCCATGGTAATTCTGTTCCACCCCCTTTTGTACCTGCTTCTGTGACCCCTCTTGCACAGATACAGGGACCTCCAGTGCAACACTTTGATCAAATGTTTTCTCATCCTGTTGTCCCACAACCACATTTATCATCCTTACCACTGCCACAACCTGTAATCCCGCCTCCATTTCCACCAACTCCACCACCATTGCCTCAGTCACTGCCACCTCTGGTTCCGCCCCCACCTAATTCTCCTCCACCCCCACCAATTGCAGAGCTTACCAGGGCGGGAAGTTCTGAACAGTTTGTACAGCATCAGTGGCAGGGTGCCTTATGTAAAAGTGGAGTTCATTATTGTACAGTTTATGCCCAGAGACTTGAGTCAGATCTGTGCAAATATTCAAACGCTAATTCTGAACCTGAAGAGTATGAAGCTTCTTGTCCTTCCCCACTCCTTTCTGATCCGATAGTGTTCCCTAGGCTTGGTGCTTGCCAATTTAAACTGAAACTTTCTCACTTTCTCATGTTATTAACTGTTGCAGATGGCCTGCCAAATTAGATATGACCAAACGCACAGATTTTCGGCATGTAAGGTCAACATTCACCAATACTCCACCACATAAAGTAAGTTGGTGAATCTCTCTCTCTCTCTCTCTCTTTCACACACACACACACGCACAGATACAAATTATTCTCCCCTTTTTTTAATTCGAATTTTGTGGTTATGATGTGTTTTGCAGAGGGAGGTTTGTAGGTTGAGCCCCTGTTCCAGCGGCGATCATAAAGGCGTAAGTTGTCTTATATATAAATGTATTGTATATTTTTTGGGTGCACTCAGTTCCATGTTCAAGCCACTGCCCATCCATCATGAATGGTGGGTAAATACCAAGGCTGATTAAGTTTAACTGCTGCTTACATAAAAATCATATTAACATTTTCAAAGGTGTTTCTTACAAAATTATTTTTTACATTCTACGAACCATTGCACATAAAGATGATTTTTGGGACATTATGAGATTATCATAATGGAGAGGACAAAGGAACATTATCTCACTTAGTTCACTAAGATTAGTCTCAGTCTTAACCATGCTTAGAAATTTTGGTAGTGAAATGCATGTTACTTGTTACCAGTTACCAACCATGTATATAGCAACATTTATTTGCCTGTGACCTAGGATCTCAGTGCAAGGATAAGTAGATATTAAAATTGTGCATCTTTCCTTTTGTGTAAGGAAAGTAGCTAGTGAATGTGTTGTTGAGCTACTCATTGCCTTAATCCAATATCACTAAACTTGTAATCTTACACCTACTTTTCTGCAGTTTCAGGATTTTACTTCATATTTGAAGCAGAGAGAGTGTGCAGGAGTGATTAAGATCCCTGCAGTGAAGTCCATGTGGTCAAGGCTTCTTTTTATACTTCCTTACTCGCCAGACATATGTTCTTTGCTTTCAGTCTCACTTAACCCGTCTGATTGCCTCATTGCCTTGGTATTGCCCAAAGAAACAAACTTCGAGTGGGTTTGATTTTGACATTTGATGATCAAAAGAAAATTTTGGAGCAGAGAATACTGGCTTTGCAATATGGAATCACTGTCCAATTATAAACCAGAAGGGCGCCTTCCAGGCCTCACAAAGGAGTTTTATTAAGAAGCAGAAGAAACAACAATGCTGATATTTACAAATTATGTTTAGTTTTCGTACCCCTGCTGGTTGTTAAGCAAGGCTTCTCTTGTGCCCTAGCTGAGGGCAAAATCAAGGGTAGTTCCTGTTCATATATCTTTCAATGTGTCTACAATCAGATGAGATTGCCATTGCTGTTCTTGCATAAACTTTTGAATGTGTTTTTTCATTTTTGTAATAATATTAGTAAAGAATCGAATCTATTTCTTTTGGAGTTATTTTGAAAAATTGTTGTGCCTTTAGGACTACAGACCATTGCACAACAGATGGGCTCCTCCATCAAACCAACTTTTCTAGGTGTATTTTGAATTAAAAAAAAATCAAAATATGTGATTATTTATTTATTTTATTCATTTTCTTTTTTTTTTTTTCCAAAAGTCCAAAATCGAAAGTGCCAATATTTAGACGATCATGCTTCGGCAGAAAGCAGGGAAAGCTTCAGTGACTGTAAATCCAATCCATCGACTCTCTGATTGAGAAAACAGGCAAAGAGAGATGTCTCATTCTAACACCAATCGGCAACATGGCAACGCCAGGAAAAATCCCAAAACCCAAAAGATATTCGTTCCCAAGAATCCTCCTAACCAAACCCCTACGCCCACATCCCTTTCTTCCTCCCTCAGGCAATCCCTTTCGACGCAAACAGATGCCTCATCATCTAGCAGTGGCGGCGCTACCTCAGCCTCCACGAGTAGGGTGCGGGGGGGAGAGAGCGGAGACTGGGTACCGAGCAGAAGAGGACCGTCTGGTCATAGTGGCAATTTCGTGAACTACTTGCCTCAAGATGAGGCAGTGGCCGCAGGTCTCGGCGCCCATGAAGGAGGACTGGATCCAGTGGAGTCGCAGAGAGTGGTTGATCTCTTGAATAGAGAGTTGTCTCGTTTGCTTAAACTGACCCCAAGAGAGTTCTGGAAAGAAGGTAGATATTACCTTCTTCATTGCTAACGACTCTTCAAATCCTAATGAATATGAATAATTGGATTAAATTGTTCCTCATTTACTCATTTAAGTTCTTCTGCTATTTATTCAGTGGCTACGGATACTTCTTTGCATGAATTTCTGGATAGTTTCTTACAATTTAGGAGCAGATGGTATGATTTCCCTCATCGTGGAGCCA